CTGTAACTGTACGATAACGCAAAGTGTACGTGTTGGTATATATTTGGTTTTATTTCCATCCTTAAATCATGGTAAACCGATTGACATGTAAACGTGAAGACTGCAAAATACAGAAACAAAACATCTATTACATTTTGGAATTAAACATTACTGAATTGTTATATGGACAGAGTTATCTTTTAAGTAAATTTACCTGCTAAATGTATCAGCACCAGAAACATGTAAATATGACCGATTTTAACACTAATATTGGAATAAAAATACATTGGTCGACCTCTATAACATAATGAGAAGGAAATACAGAAAACTTCGCTTTACAGAGGTTTCAACATACAGAGGTTCCGGTCTGCACAGGTAATATTGTATACTGGCACTGTGCCATTACACTCAACACATATGAACTGATAACAGTTATAATTATCTATATTTGTGTTGGTTTCTAGGGCAATGCATACGCCGACAACTAACTTATGAAATGTACAAAATAACAACATAATTATACCTTAGCTTGCATGTCATAAACAGTGAATTTATAGTATAAAATAGACTAGAAAACACATGACTGGTTTCTGGGCCGAAATGACTTAACGACCACGTGCTTTGACATGAAAGGAACAAAATACATAAAATATTGCAAGTTATCTATATTATCAAGGTGTAAAGGATTATTATTTGAGTATTTACTATATTTGCCTTATTTTGGCTAGATTGACACTTACAACTATGGCTCAACCAAGTCCACATTTCACAAAACAAGGTATGTTGATGAAGCGTGCCTCATTGTACGCTCACAATGGCTGCTCGATGATAAAGAGTAAAAGAGTTCCACAAAGGGCAGTAACTCGTAGAATATTATACAAGAAATATATATAGTAGACACCAAACCAAGGGAGGTAACTCGTGAAGTCTTGTATACAAACAAATATCAGTAAGCGTAACGGAACAGGGCCTGCAATTCGCATTAGATCCATTTCCTTTTTGAGTTTTTTCTGCACATTGATAGGGTCATTAACTGCAGATTTTAAATTTTGACAACTCTGAAAACCTCTCTTGCCTTTAAAATGTAGCCTTAAACCAAATTTGAAACAATCAACCAACAACTCGACCAGTTCTCTATCATAACCTGTCAAAAAGGCCTGCAACATTCCATAGTTGACTGGTGTTACGGGATGTGCCTGCCTGAGATTCACCCCACTTTGTGCTATGTTTAGGTTGAGAGGAGGATGGGAGGGAGGAGGGGTGTCTGTCACCTTCTGGTGCTTTACGACACTTGACTCTTGGATGGGACCCTCCACCACAATACGAACAGGCATGTCGGTAGTTACACCCATTACAGGTTGCACCTTTGTTATAACGGTGACAGGTACCAACCCTATTGTGGCTCTCTTTGGCCCGAAACCGATGGTTGATTGCCTTTTTTTCGTGAGTAGAAGTGGAGATTGACCGAGACCTCCTGGTGGTCATGGCAATGGTATATAGTTCGTTTTCCAATACCTGCCATGCCATATCAGGAGTGCCTTGTTTAATTTTTCTGAAATTGGTATCATAAAAATACCAGTGTGGCAATGGTACGGATCACATTCTGATATGTGGCCAGTGCCTCCATTTCCTGTGGGAATTTGGGACGAAGGACCGAAGAGAATATGTTGAAGGAATCAATGAGAACAGTCTTCTTTTTATAAGGAAAGATCCCAACAAGCCCGTCCTTGCTCATTTTCAATGAGAAATCTGGATCAGACTGGTCGTCCAACAGGAGGCCCAAGTCAATGAATTATCCAGCCCAGGTTTTCTCTTTCATTTTAGTCGGCACCTTAGCATGCAAGGCACGACAAGACATTGAAACATATGGGGCCCTACGCACAACGGTTAAAGTGCATCGCTCCAACCCACTTGATATTACTACTTGCTGATCAGCTGGTTGTCCTGGAGCAGCAATTGATCCTTCTGTTGTGGGATCTTGTGCATTGCTGACTGCTGTGGGCAGCACTGGGTCTAATGGCAAGAAAGCAGACCCTTGATGTGATGATGCTGCAGGGGGTGCAGCTGTTTGGTTGGAATACACTCCCTGTAGTCTTAAGCTGGCAAGAGATCTACAGACTGCCTTTATATGACCCTTTTTCCCACAGTGGTAACACTCTGCATCTTGGAACCAACATTTACGTGCATCATGCTGGTATTTACCAAAGTGGTCACATGGATTCTTTGTTCTCTGTCCATTTTGTCTGTTTGATGGCCTCACACTGTTCACTCTTTTTTCCTTTAGCTGGTTAAGTTCTTGCTTGGTGGTCTCGCATTCCTTCTTCAATAACAAAAGTTCCTGTTGAAGGTTTTGAACTGTTGGTGTTACACCTTTTGTTTTGTCCGAATGTCCGTTCGACTGTGCCATGCAACCAAACTTCATGATGTCTACTACAGTTGTAGCTTCTTTTCCTAATACAAATGACTTAACTTCCTGATCCAGTCCATCTATTAGCACATCAAATATCTCCTTTTCAGTCCTATTCAACTCATTCCCCTTAGCTTGTACATGTTCAACATAATCCTGTACGTCACTGCCATTTTGTTTAGAGTTCAGGAATTCTTTAACTCGACTTGGCCTATCCAGCTCACTGGGGAAAAATCTCTCTGTAAACTTTCCTATCAGCAGCTCCAGATTTTCCTGCACATCTTCCTGTTGTGCATAAAGCCATCGCTCTGCTTTTCCTTTTAGCAGAAGTGAAAACTGAAGAGCCTTTTCCTCATCTTTCCATTTTCTAATTCTGCTCACTTTTTCAAATTTGGAAAGCCATATCTTTGCACAACCTTGTCCATCAAACTTCTCAAGTATATTAATACTGTCCTTTGCTGCCAATTCCTTCTCCTTTTTGTTTTTCTTACCAGGGTGTAGATGTTACAACCCTGGTACCCGGATTCTCCACCACATATCACCGGTCGATTATTGTGTTACCACTAGGGTCTGACTTGTAATTATTACTTGGGAACTTTGGGTTACAAATGATGACACATTATGTCAGTTCCACTTCCTTTATTTAAGTCCAACTTCATATCTTGTACATGGAAACTTAATTGTTCAATCCATTCCCTTCTGTTTCCATCTCCATTCTTTCTCCTTTAGTTCTCTTCAGTCTCACTTCCCAAGATCTCTGTAATTCTATATCTGTCTATCTCTGACAGAATTACATCTGTCTATCTCTGACTCTGTCCTTGGACTCTCTCCTTCAGCTCTCTCCTACTCTGTCAACCTTAGATCTCTACCTATTATAAAGACAATATAACACTACTTCTACTTAACTAAATCTTCTAATTCTATTGGCTAATTCCATTCCTAGGAGGCGGGGCTACATTTCTCTTTTAGAGGTCTTTTGATGACCATAACTTGTCAATGCATTATACTGAATGGACCTTACATCCACACACCATTGTCCTTCAACCCTTCACACAGACATTCCCACACACTCCATTCCCTTTGAGTTCCTACCACCATATGTGTCCTGGTCATCTCCTTTGTTAACAATTACAATCTCTTTTTTAATTGCCTTCTTCTTACTCTTCTGATCTTACTCACTACCATTTTACATCTGTCATACATACATCAGTGTAGGTGTGGGGTGCACCTGTGGTGGGGCATAATCCCCATTGGGTTTACATCATAGCCCCAAGTGTGTGTAGTTATATATACCCCCTTGATTCAATAACAGCATATTTTCTATTATTGTCATTGTTAAGTAGACTAGAAAAGTTGTGTAAAAAAAATCAGTTTGTGTTGCTTTTTAACTGAAATATTCCAAAAAGAATGTATATATTTTTAAGTAAGTTTTTTTTTTGTTAAAACCTTGTTGACCTTTGTAGATGTCTGTACTAATGTTAATGTTTCTTTTTCTACAGTTTAGATGGCCACTGCTCTCACATTGCGGGCCTACTCAAGTCGTTACAAGGATTAAAGTTACATAACTTTACTCATGTCCCTGACCAACAAAGTTGCACAAGCATACCACAGCATTGGCATTATCCTAGAGGAGCAAAAATAAAACCTGTCCCCATCAACCCTGTGATTGTGTCCAAGCAGAGGGTTGGAAAAGTAAGCCTATTATTTGCCAGCTAGACCAAAACTATCGGTAATCGATCAAACTTATGCCATATCGCTTTCAAACAATCTGTTTCAGGGTCTCTTTTTTAAAAATATTTGTTTGGTACGTCTCTTTCAATGTTTTGTCAAATCACTTTATATCGCAAATATTTGGCTGATAACTCCATTTTGGCAGTATAACAAGTGTTTGCGATATGCACAAAAGAAGTTGTGCATGCCTGCATGACATGTTAAAAGGTTGATCATGATAGTATTCATGCCAGTCATTCTCATTTTACGTGAATGTACACAACTAGCCTTGCATCTATTATGAAATTAAAACTATTTTTATACTTAAAACAACACAAACAATATAAACATATAAGTTTATTTTGACCCTATATAAGTCAAACTTAAAGAAAAAATTGATTTAAACATATATGTCAGTCATATTTTCTCTTAAGTTGCGAATATATAATTGTACAATCATTCTGTTATAATTCAGGTTACTGAAGATCACTGCCACAGACTTCAACCAGCTATCCAGTTTAAGGGAACACCACTGTGTTACATACTGACTGCAGATGCACCAAAGACTACCACAGAATTTGAAGAAGTAGTGTGGATCTATCCTTTCTTATCGGGTAAATGTACAATATAAGTAAGCATTGTTTACCCAGCATAAAGGTTCTTATCCGATACACACATACCTATTATATGCATTTTTAAGACAGTCACATCTTATTTATCCTTGATAAATACATCCTGAAAGAGAGTCAGCAGACAACAGACAGACCAAATATGTTGATTTGTGAGAACATTTCCGGATCGTGTCCCGTATTGTACCAAAGACAATGTTCTCACAAATCAATTGTGTTTGGCAATTTTCTGAGGTTTTTTTAACATCTGCTGAGGACATCTGGCTTCCTGATTTTGTGAAGGGGGGTATATTAAGATTCAATCCCAGCTGACCAAGTTCCTCACCAATAGTGAACCCTTTATCGGCCATAATAGCATCACCATCGTTCAAGTATCCCTGACTATTAAGAGTTTTTAATGTTTCATAGAAGCCACTTTCCTTTGTGATTGTCTTGTCAGAGATGGAGTCAGAATGCAACCCTGAAACAAATATCACTGATCCACTTGGGTCACAACCAATAGGACACTTGAGTGTAGTGCTCGACTTGTAGTCGCTGTAGAGTTGACTTTGAAGACCTAGAGCACATGGTGTTTGTGTTTTTAACTCGGTGCCATCAATAATTATGAGAGATGTTGGGAAATCTCTTCTATATTCTGTTGGCATATTTTCAATTATGGTGTCCCTGTGTGGCCATATTGAGAGTTGCCCCGATATATGGTCAATCCATGTGTTGAATACAACTCCAGTCGACTGCAATGTAAGTCCAAACCTCATGCAAATGTCTTTCAATCCAAAGTCATGACGGAGACGGCATATGGTGAGGAATAGACAATCCTCATTTGATAAAGTTTTAATGTCCGCACGACCTTTCTCATAGCTGACACAGGACCCTGGAGGTACCAGAAAATTCCAGGTTATCCCAGTGTAATACTTGAACAGACCCTTCACTTGATCCTCTTTTGCCAATACTTTCTTCACTCCAAATGGTGTTATGGACTGCTGCTTGTTTATCAGCTCGCCGACGTTTTTTTCCTGCATTTCTACAGTTGACCGCAGTTGATGCAACTCTGCTGATAGTAAAAGCATATCCACAGGTGACACCCCTGAAAAAAACACAAAATACATGTATAAGCTACAATTATCATCAGATGTACGGTACAAATAAATACAATATCTAAATTTTATCTTTGCAGACCCGAAATTTGAAGATGACAGCAGTGGAGTCCACGTCGCAGGGCTGTGGCAACACATCTGTACATGAAGCAGCACCAGTTACCTTGCCTCCTGATTGTATTCAATTAAATTTGCATAGGGACCAAAGTGTGATAGAGAATATTGAGCTTGAAACTAAGGAACAATCTAAGTCAGGAGTGTGGGCTGAGGAAAGAAAGACCAGGTTAACAGCATCCAACTTTGGGCAAGTTCTAACGATGAAGGCCAAGCCAACAGATAGTTTTTAACCGATGTTTTAACCGGAAAATGATCGGCAACAGGAATAAGACGTGTGGCAAAGCAAAGTACTTGGATAAATTTCCATCACACCATTTACACAAGTGTGGATTTGTAATCAACAAGGAATTTACTTTCTTGGGTGCTTCTCCTGATGGCAAAGTATGTATTGATGGAGAATGCGGAATATTAGACGTCAAGTGTCCTTATTCAGCCAGGAACTTAACTATCAGCGAGGCATGCAAGGATGTTACAAGCTTTTGTCTGGAGATGGAGGGCAATAGTATTGACCTGAAAAAAACACACACACCTACTATGCACAAATACAGAGACAGCTAATGATTACTGCCTGTAAGTTCTGTGAATTTCAGTCTTCACATAAAAGGACATTCATGTGGAGAGAATACTTCCAGACATCACATTTATGCAGTCAATGCTCGAGAAGTTGGCTATATTCTATAGGGACTATCTATGGACTACCATTTTTTCAGCAAAAGTGTTAACAGGTGCAACATTTGTACTGAAATTGGAAGATTGATTGATTTCAAAACCTCAATGTATATAGATTTATTTTTTATTTTGCAGTATGCAGGGTATTATTCAATAACAGACAGCACTGAGCGGGTCAAATTGACCGATTCAATCCTGATTTTTGGCCTGCCTATACATATTTATATCATGTTTTCAAGATGTAGTGAAATTAACATAGTATATATTGTTGATCTTTCTTTTTTTCCAAATCATTAGTACTATGTATTGTTATATATGACATGAAATGTGACATTCCAATAAAAAAAAACTTTTTGACAATATATATAAATATATATTTATACATTAGTGTGGCAATCTTTAGTTCGTTTATTCTTACATCATTGTGTTCTCATCAAGAGGAGTTTTTCTCCTTTTCTCTGGTCTTTGGCATTGACCTGGCTGGTGGAGCCGTCTGCTTGTATAGGGTCTGGGTAGCTGGCAGTTGGTCCATTTTCCCCAACAAAATGCTACAATATACAAACAAGAGGCCCAATGGGCCTGCATCGCTCACCTGGTATAAATCTCACACTTGTAACCTTAAAAGTGATCTAAAATAAATTTACAGGCAAAATAAAATATCGGTATTTATGATTAAAATTCATTCAAAAGAACCTGTTATTTTTTTTTCAAACATTTCACCCCTGTGATTGAAAGTCGAACAAAATCATTACATTATGTTGAACAAATTGTATAGCCTTTCATCTCGGGATGCAACTTGCAAAGTATCAACATCCTGGGACCCATGGTTATTCAGAAGAGGTCGTTTAAAGATTTAAACATGTTTGACCCCTGTGACCTTGAATATAAGTTAAAGTCATTCACTTTAACCAACATAGTAGTCCTTGATCCCAGCAGGCTACTGACTAAATATCAACATCCTGAGCCTTTTGGTTATTCAGAACAAGTTTATTTTTTTTTATATTTTTTTATATTTTGAACATATTTGCTCCTTGTGACCTTGAATATGATTCAAGGTCATACATTTAAACAAACTTGGTAGCCCTTAATCCTAGTATGCTACTGGCCAAATATCATCACCTTGGGCATTTTAGTTATTCAGAAGAAGTTGTTTAATGTTTTTAACATATTTGACCCCAGTGACCTTGAATATAGGTGAAGGTCATTCATTTGAACAAACTTGATAGCCCTTTACCCCAGCATGCTACTGGCCAAATATCATCACCCTGGGCATTTTGGTTATCGAGAAGAAGATGTTTAAAGTTTTTAACATATTTGACCCCTGTGACCTTGAAAATTGGTGAAGGTCATTAATTTTAACAAACTTTGTAGCCCTTCATCCCAGTTTGCTGCTGGCTAAATATCATCACCCTAGGCCTTTTAGTTATTAAGAAGAAGTCGTTTAAAGTAAAATATCGACGCCGGACGACAGACGGACGGACGGACGCCGTGCCACAGCATAAGCTCACTTGGCACTTCGTGCCAGGTGAGCTAAAAATGTATACGCTTAACTGAAACACATTAAATATAGTGGAAACTAGAGCTAAACTGGTAAAGATTCATCAATTTAAAACTTAGCAGAGATTTATTACTGTCCGTTTTAGTTAGACAGTTTGCACCACAGACATTCTGATAGTAAGTCGAGAAATATATATTTAAATCGGGGTACAGTAGCAATAAACTAATAACGTGTACTTTATCTATTTACTATCGGAAATTCATGTCATTAGATTTAGTATTATGTAAAATTCAACCACATAGTACATCTTATATATGTAACCTTATACCTACACATATAATTTTTGAAAAAAATATTTGTTATTATAATTACTCTATGGCGCACGACTCATCAATTCGTGTAACAATATTTGATTCAATATTATTTAATTGCATTCATCACACGCACTATGCAATAGTTTCACAAGAGATATTACTCAAATATGAACCCCGAGGTACAGTTACTAATTGTTCCAATAATAATAACTCCTACCTTAGTCCTCAGGCAATCAGTCAAGTTTACACCTCTGTAATTAAACAGATAATGGCGTATATGCACAAGCCATGATCAACTGTTTGCCATAATACTAACCAATGTAAAGCTGTAAACCTAACCTACAATCCAAATAAGTGTTCATTTCTTCCCCTTATCTAACTTCACAACTTATAAAGGGAAGTGACCACAACTAAATCGAAGATTCATTGCCCTCGTAAAGGGAAATAACGCCAATTGTTCAGTAATTCCACACTTATAGAAAGTTCCTGCTGGGTGTCTTCGGCAGTATGTTTCAGTGAGGTAGCACTATAAAATCGGCATCAGTTCCGCGCTATCACAAGGAGACAAACATGAACATATCGCAGCCTCCCAAAATACACACACATACACTACACGCATGCATCTTGCACACAGGGGAGGCCGTCCTTAAATGACCTTAGCTGTTAATAGGACGTTAAACAAAATCAAACAAACAAACAAAGTAATGTAACCTAGGCTATATATATCTGTATGTATGTTCGTCCAGTGAAGTTGTCTTACTTGACTATTAAGACCAAACTTAAAGACCTGATAACGCATCCACGAATAGAACGATAGTACGGTTTCATTTCATCGAAGTGAACCCCGTCGACCAAATACAGTTGAGATACGTCCCAGATGTCCCTATTTGAAGAATACAAACACTGACTTTACTGTATTTCCCCAAAATTTTGTGTAGGCACGCGCGAATACGATTTACACAAGCTCCAGACGCCCCGTGAAAATTGACCCTATCTGACGAAAGGCCCATATTGTCCTTACGTGGAGAACCTTCGTCAACATACTGTTCTAGACGCTTCACTAAGCTATGTCCCAATATAACCACATCCCTCCCGTGGTTAGCAATGGTAGCTATCTAAAATACTATAGGTCCAGAAGCAAAAAATCACAATGTAACCAACAAATATATCACATCTGTAAAACGTAAACAAACTTCCTCGCTGACTATGACCGATAAAAATAGATAAAAAATTCACTCACCAACTCTTTTTACTATCTTTTTCAACTATTCTTTTCAAAGTCTGTCCCAATTTACAGTGGATATAGCTTGAATCGTTTACAATCTTTTCAACTTCTCAAAATGGCGGGGTTCTTCTCGAGGGCTCAAAGTGGTCAATGACCTCTTGACCAATTGGAGACCCCGAGTCACCCGAAGCGTTGGGGGCCCCATACGGGTGATCCCCAAATGGGACCCTTAAGGGTAATTCAATGTTAAACACTTCGTTATCCAAAAAATCGTATATAAATATACTTTTTATATTTGTTGGATATATAATACAATTACAAACTGCATCAATTTGATACAGTAGCATTAAAATATTGTTTTGTTTTCTAAAAAAATGTACATGAAAGTATGTGGTATGTATGTTTGATTCAGATAACAATTACTGCAGTGTAATACGTGTAATACGTGTAATACATGTAAATGACCCCTAAAACATGAATAGTGGGTTCTTTTCCTCATTTACTTTTTTTTTTAATTTTTAGGACTGATTGTCTAAGAACAACCATGATCTCATAGATATGCATACTCTTTCCAGATATTCTTTTAAAGCAATTACTTTATTTCTATAATTATAATTTATAAGTAATACCAGCCTTGGCAATATTGCTCAAAAGGCTTACATGTCATAATTCTTGGAGATCATCGGGATATTTTATAAGTTATTATTAATTACCCCTATACTTATAAAGGGATGGTTTGCTAGCAAAATAATCAGATCAACATTTGAAAAAAATCAATTGATCTGATACAGTTCTAATTAAAAACACACACACACACATCTTATTATTGTTATTGTAATAAGAATACCAAAATAAGCAGTCAAGTTTCAATCCCAGAATGATTTGACCAAGACTTTTGAAAGAAATATCAGGTGTTATAGTAAAAGGTACTGAAGGAATTGCCGGCACTCAACAAGAGAATGAAACTTGCTAATGTCGTCTTAACAGTGTGAATCAATCATGTTTCATAAAAACATATGGTACAAAGAATTTCCACAACTCCTTAACATATTTTGCCTCTTTATCTCAATAGGGATAGTTTATTAATTTTGAACTTTTAGAAAGAAAAACTCTTATCAGCTCATTCACTTTTAAAACTCTTGTCAGCTCATCAATAACTAACAGCAGTTAAATAAACATGATAAACAATGTGGAACCTCTTTAATTGAAAATAGACAATTAACATAATTTTTCAGAATAATTCAACATTTTATTGGTCAAAACAAGCACAACATAAGTTACAAGAGTTTGGCTAAATATGGCACATCATGGAATTACTCAAAATAAGAAATCACCAAATATTTCAAACAGATTTTCAGTAAATTTTTAGTAATAATGATATTAGTATACAGGTGATATCAGTTTTTATTTTATTTTTTAATTTTATTCCCGACAAGTGATTGACCAGAAGTGCATCATGTGTCGGCCGTCAAAAACCGATATTGACTTGGAGCGTGTGATTTTTGTTGAACGACTGGGTGTTTCTAAAAATAGAATTATGACGTGTCTCCAAACGAACGCGTCCTCGGTTAATATATCTTTTCTCAAGTCGATAAATCCAGGTGTCGACCACAACCAAAGGCTATAATTGAATAGTATCTAATGAAGGTTTCCTTTACCATAAAAACATGAACTTATGGCTTAGAGTCTGTAATGTTCATAATAATGAAAAATATGCGATATCCTTATGGTGTGAAAAAAAATAGAAAGATTACACATTTGTAAGGATTTGACTAAAGATATATATATAATATATATACTAAAGGAAATATCAAAACATGAATGTTTATAACTCAATTAGTCTACCTACTGGTTAAATACATAATTTGCCTAGAGATATATTCACTATATTCACAAACAAGAGGCCCAGAAAGTCTTTAAGCTGTTCAATCAGACTATGCATGTTTGGGGTCTTTTTGGCAGATCTTATTTTTCTACACTTTTTTTTATCTTTGTGAATATTTGTTGACTTGAACATTTTTTTTTATCTGAACTAAGCTGGTTGTTATATCCATTTAGTCACTTCTAACACATCATATTGATTTAAACCTTAAACCTATATCACAAAATGTCATGAACTTCAGCCAGTCCCTTCTATTATTCAGAAGTCAATTAAATGTTTTAACAAATTTAAACATAATGTTATATGACCCTGAAATTAACAATTTAACATATACTCTAAAATTGAGTCCAGGTCATTCAAGAGCATTTGAATATGTTTTAGAACCCTTTATCCCAGCATGTTATTGGCTAAATATCATCACCAAAGATATCCCTGATATTCGGATATAGTCATTTATGTTAAAGGATTTGACCTGTGACCCTGCAGGTAGGGCGTAAGAATTGTACCTGCTGCCCCCAATTGCATGATCGTAAGAGGCGACTAAATTTGGGACCTTATATCTTCTCTCCTTTCTAAATAACTTTCTTCTTCCTAATGTCTCCCTTGACAATGCCTCACTTTTGGCCATTTGTTGAGCGTTCGCCCCTGTGAGGAAGGCTTTGGGTTCTGTCCCCTGGCCGAGACATACCAAAGTCTTTAAAAA